CACTGTTGATGGCCTGTAGGACAGCAGAGCATGAAGCCACTGGATACACTCCAGCAAAGTTGATGTTTGGTCGGGAACTTCGGTTGCCAGTGAATCTGTTTACAGGACGCCCACCTCATGAAGAGTTGCCTGAAAATGTGTCAGAATTCGTGAAAGTGTTATCGGAAAGGATGGATAATATTCACCATCAAGTGCGTTCAAATTTGAAAACGTCTGCTGATTCGATGAAGTTATCTTATGATAGGAGATCTACTGAAGTTAGTTTTGTACCAGGAGACAAGGTGTGGTTGTATAATCCCAGGAAGACCAAAGGGAACTCTCCTAAGTTGTAATCTCCATGGAAAGGCCCATATGATATAGTGGATCGTCTCTCAGACGTGACTTTCCGGATAAAATGTGGTCGGCGAGGTAAGCCAAAAGTGGTGCATGCCAACAGGCTTTGGCGTTATCACGGTCCAGGACATTTCAGTTGGGACGAAGTGAACAACAGAACAAATGACGCTGCTGAAGACGTGCCACCTGAAGAAGCCACCGTCGAAGAAGAAACTCTACTCAGTTTTGAGAAGGGAAACGGTGAAGCTCTTGATGACGTTACTACCACTGATGTGACTGTTATCGACGATAGAACATTTCCTGATGAAGCAGAAGCCAACGAGATGGAGACCGGTACGGAAGAAGATACGTCCCGTAAAATTAAGAGACTTTGTTGAAATGTAATTTTGTGTTTGTAATTCTGTACATTGAATTAAGTTATTGTTAATTGTTATTGGTTTAATGTAAGTGGCTATTGTTCGGGACGAACAATACTAAGGAGGGAGCAGTGTTGCGTCAGCGAGGTCACGTGACTAGTATCATGCCACGTCCTTCTCGAACCTTCGTGAATTATCGGGAAACTACTAGATTGGGGGTAGACTGGTACACAACTGGTCACAACTTGACGGAACAATGAGTAATTGAACTGCAGTCAGAGAGTGTGTAATTGAACTGAGACGTGAGTTATAGCGTTTGTTATAGAGCGACTATTGAAATTAAGTGTATCGTAAAGTTGTATTCGGAAAAAATAAACCAGTTTTATTTAAGAAAGGACGTGTGTTGCTAAAGTTTCGTCGGAACGAATTTACGGAAAATTAACGAACGAATGGAGACGTAACAGTATATTATATTAAAATGATTTTAGAGTCTCACCACATTGTTACAATCCAGTAACTACATATAATTACGCTCTGAACACCACACAACTTGAAAATAACCCTCAAGTGTAGTTTCTAATGCAAAATGCTACAATGTAATGTTATCAAGTATAAAGCAGATCACTCCTCCCTGTTTATGTGATATATATATATATATAAGTATATTATGCATTTTATGCCCTCGTAGTTTAAAGTAGGATTATTTTACATTTCTGAGTTATTCAGATGTATGTGAAGGTTTTCACATAAAAGGTAGTCAAGAAAATCAGTAAGTTGTTTTTGTTCTAGCTATCTTTTTTCTTTGTCACTTGCTTGAGATAATAACCTGTCTGTTCGTAGAAGGTATAGCAGAAAGCTGCACTTTTTTTCATGAATGTAGAAAGCAGTGTCCTTCAATGGTTGTTCAGGGGTTGCCTCAAGGTTAAAACTTCCTTTACGTTTGAATTAGACAGCACCAGCTTTTCTGGTTACGTTTGACATTACCAAGTTATCTAAGTAGCATTAGTTTTGAGCAGTCTGGTAGAAGTTGCAAGTGTTGGGGTTTGTTTAGATATTTTGTGAACGAACACCAGTAGAACGTGATTCTATATTTATACACCATTCTACGCATGTATTTCTGCAGGGGATGGCAAGGGTTGGCAATTTACCCCCCTCCCACCTGGAAAGTGAGAAAAATATTTTTTTTTATTTATTCATTCAGCATACGTATATAAATTTTCAAGTTTTTATTCACTTCACAATTTCACACAAGTTATTACATTTAATTCTCAATACTGATAAAAACTCGCAAAGTTTGTCAGCAGGCTTTACTTAAAATCTCTGCATGCCTACCCTGTAGCAAAATATTGAAAAATATCGCTACCACCGCTTGTCGGTAATACCGGCAGCAGATCATTAAAGAGATTCGCGCAGTCAAAATTACTCTGCATGTTGGACAGTCAACATTCAAAAAGCAAAAAAATGCACGAGCAAATCATTACTTAAAATATCTTAAAACTTGAAACAAAAAAAAATGGTATTTTGTATACCAAAGCCTTGTAATGTTTATTGATAATCTGAAAGATTTCGTAAAAATACGCATACTGTATTAAAAGTTGTAGTATTCTCTTGACTGTAATTGCATAACTTTAAAGGCGGGTCCATCGTCTCTTAATTTTGACTCACCCTCTCCCCGGGGACTGCAAGGTAATTTTTGCGGGAGAGCTGCAAAGCTACTAAATACTTCAGGGGAGAGTGAAAGGAAAAAAAAAAAGAGTTCATACAGTTATGGAAGAACAAAATACATGTGAAACAGCGACAAACGAAGGCAGTTGACTTTTACACTTCTTGATACCATTGTTACGACAGCGGAAGTCACGCAACACAGGGAGCATGCGCGCTGGAGTTTCTAGAAGGATCACGACTTATCGAGGAACCTCGCGAATGTCCGAGTGTTTGCCAGGCGCCCTCTTATTTTAGTATACAAGCCCAGCAAATAAAGCCAGCGATAGAGAGATATGCAGATAGATTGAAGATATAGATAATTGAGTCAAGCGAACAGTAGGCACCGTAAGTAAAGTGTGTGAACCACTGTGATTTATAGCGTGTGTTATAAAGGTTGTTAAGTTTAAAGTGACTGTAGAAATTCTGTATATTACAAAGTTGTATCGAGAAAGAATAAACTAGTTTTAATTAAGAAAGGACTTGTATCACTGAAGTTCCTCCGAAAGAATTTATACCGGAAATTAACAAACGAACAGATATCTAACACTATAATCTTAAAACTTCAGTATTTTATAATGTCACATTATCAGGAGCTCAATTATGAAAAAAAATATTAAGATTTTAGTCAAAGATGGCGATTATCCGCAAAGTATTTGTACAAAAAATGTTGTGTACAGAGATATGTTTCTTTTATAGTTATTCTATGTTTTTACACTTCTTTACTTAAATTCTAAATACAAGAACTCTATACTTTGCTTTGTTTCTTTCATGCCCAACTATATAATAACAATAACAGCATTATTTAAAGGATTTGTCAATTTAAAACACATGCCCTATAATATTCCTCATGCTGTATATGTGAAAAAAAAAGACATATTTGGTATTTGGTTCATATGGTACAGCATATGCTTTGTATGGGGGAAGTAGAGAATTCAACTCAAGCCCGTCTATATCATAAAAAAAAAATCCTAACCGATGTTTCAGCAGTCAAATAATTTTAGTACAAACATCGTACGCGAAGCACGAGTTTATCCACTAATTGGAGAAGAAAGGTGAAGAGCGTCACTATGCGTCTAATTACAGTACTTTAGTAAATAAGACAAGATGATTTGAAAAAACTAGAATATAAGCGAGGAATATCACAAGATCCGTTGTCAAGACTGAGTTTTGTCTTGGTGTTACAAACAATATTTCATGAGTTCCAGTTTATAGTGTGATTTAAAAATATTCAGCTAGAGCCGAGTTCAATATTATATTATGTCTACAGTTCCTTTTATGTCCTGTAAATCTAATTCAAAGTCGATGCTTTGTTTGGCAGATATATTTCACTAAATAGTCTAAGCATGGAATCTGATATACATCAACAAATGGTGGCACGGTTTTCTTTTCCAGCACCTCTCAAGAGGTACAACAAGCACGCAGTAGTCTTAACCATGAACATCTAAGAAGATTTTTGAGTTTATCTTTCGGCTGGACACAACCTGTTAGTCTAGCATGTCTAAATTAAGCACCAACAACCTGTACTAAAATAATTGCAAAATACTTGTGTAGTATGAAAATGCTACACATTTTACTCATCTGTACATGGTTCTTATTTACAAAATTCATAATTTTGGAACACGACTGTATATTGTGTGCAAAATTCAATCTGGGGTGTTACTTATTGTAGTTTGACCAATCAAGCAATTTACCTGCTGTTTCATGGTATAACTGAGTGTATCCTGCTTGACCTTGCGGAGGCCACACCAAACAAGATATTTTCACATTCCAGTGTTCTTATCGGTTAGCTAGCCTACAGAGATAATGTGCTTTGAGACCGTAGTTTCTCAAAGGGATTGCTCCTGATCTTTGAGGAGCATATATTTTCATGTTTCTTAAGAAAGTCAAGACTTGCTGTGAAGGTCCTTCATTGTCTTAGCGGTTTTGTATGTTTATCGTGCACATTTTACTTCCAAGTTAGACGTGTGTTATTTTTCATTTAAGTACGGTTTATTTCTTCTTCTTCACAAAGTCATAGTTACCATTATAACACTGATCTACCGATCCTTTTTTACATTTCAAATGCATTTTCTTTTTTTTCAGATTTTAGTACTGCAGGTGGTTGTCTCTTTTTTAATCCACTTGTAACAAATCACCGGGCTTTTCCATCCGCATATTAGTTCAAAAGAGTTTCGTTTCTACAAAGACTAGTTAACTGTATGCATATTTATCTACGAATTGCAACACGTTTCTCTCTTTTCTATTGTTTAAGAAAATTCACATCTTAGATCGGGTGTAAAATACATTTTTGATTTTTAATTGAAAGTGTTGGGGGGGGGCTTTCATTCTCTTTTCTAATAACTAGCATAGTACATGTTTTATACCCAAGATTTATCCATATTACTATTAGTAGCTATATCTGTTACAACAGCCACAATTTAAGAGCCCCCCCCCCCCCAGTGGCATAGCGGTATGTCTGCGGACTTACAACGCTAGAATCAAGGTTTCGATACCCGTGGTGGGCAGAACACAGATAGCTCATTGTGTAGATTTGTACTTAATTACAAACAAACAATTTAAGAATAGGAAATGTTTAATTTTAGACCAAGTTAATACTTGTTTAAGAGTTAGGCTTTACAATTTGAGTATCATGATTTATGATATGCTAGAATGTTAGGTGACTACTAGAAAGAAGTTAGCTTATGACACCTACTAAATAGACCATTAGTGTAATAGTAATAACCATTCAATGATTTTTGGCAAAATTAAATCACTATTTACGTTCATGTTAGGGTTTAATTACCTTCAGTAAAAGTAAAATAATTATAGGCTTAGTACTCCTACTGTAATTTAAGAAAAGTTTGTTCTCTAACTCCTCTAAACTTTTACATTTAGATCTGCCAAATTTAGATCTGATCAGTCAGTGAGGGTGGCCACAAGGAATTGTAATAAGATTTCTCCAGGTTTCTCTTTCATTACATAAGGTAGACATAGTCTATGTAATTTCAATCATTACTGGCATATTTAGGATACAAACAGAAATACTATTTACATTCTCAACTGGTAAAACATTATTTCTATAATTGCATTTTCCTTTTCAAATCACTTCAATTGTTTGAAGCATTTTTTTCGCTAATTTTTTTACTCATACTTACATTAAGTCAAGTAACATATTTCTTTTTGATAAAAAAAATCTAAAATAGAGAATATTAGTCAAATAATCAAGACTATGAAACAAATTACCCTTCTCTATAAAATCAATAAATAATTTGTTAACTTTCATAAACCCCTCACCATATATCACATGGGTACATCTGCTAGTGATGAGAAATGGAATGTTTGTTTGTTTGTTTTGAATTTCGCACAAAGCTACACGAGGGCTATCTGCGCTAGCCGTCCCTAATTTAGCAGTGTAAGACTAGAGGGAAGGCAGCTAGCCATCACCACCCACCGCCAACTCTTGGGCTATTCTTTTACCAACGAATAGTGGGATTGACCGTCACATTATAACACCCCCACGGCTGAAAGGGCGAGCATGTTTGGTGTGACGGGGATTCGAACCCGCGACCCGCAGATTGGGAAATGGAATGACAGTTGCATCAGCGTGTGGTAATTTTACTATGTAATATAGGTAGAACAACAGATTGGAAATGAACAAAAGCATGTCAATTTTTAATAATTTATTTATAATCAAACAAACTATGCAGAGCTTTAAGTGCAAGGTCTTTATTAAGATGGTAAATATATCAGTGAGCAGACTGAATATTAAAATGTCAACAAAATTCTAAAAAAAAAAACATTAATTCATCAAAGTGGAAGAATGGTAAATTTCAATAATTTACCCAAGCCAAAAAAATCTGCTATTATACAAACTAATACATTCTTTATAGTATCAAATAACAATATCTAAATCATGATCTGAATATAGAAAAACATGAGTGGAAATTTTGAAATTCAGTTTTTCCAAGTTATAAAAATATAGATGGTAGTGGTGAAACACCTGCCCCAAAACTTCACTTTTTTTTTATATCTACAAGTCTAAGTCAATATTTTTGTACATTTCCAATGGATTAAATTATGAATAGTATATCTGTACTAAGTAACAACCTACCCGCTAGTTAAAACACTTGTGACTATTAACTTGATTAATGTAAACTTCAAATTACTCTTTAATGTGAAAGTATGACTAAGAATATTTAAATTCTCACACAGAAGAAACAACCTACCATGATTGAAAGTTAGAAAAGAAACTGTGTTAACAATGTTGAAAAATATTCCTTTATATATAACATTGCATACTGTAGAACTACTGAATCTTATTTTGGTAGCTGCAAATCAGTTTATATGGATTTACAGCATACCAAAGACATTTGTCTTATGCTAGTCAGTTTCTTATTCCCAGTTCAACCCTACCTAAGAGAATCTTACAATTGGCTCTGAAAAAGGTGGTTCTTTGTGTAAAGTTGCTTTTTCTTTAGATGAACAAAATCACAGTATACAAATTATTTACTGTTTAGATACCACAGAAATATTATATATACAGTTTTTACAACACAATCTACTAGTCACAATAACAACTGGGTTTAGAAAAACAGCCAGGATAAGGATATTAAATACTGATTTTCTAAATACAAAGTGAGCTAAAAGTTAATTAAATGGTTTGTTGCAAGATTAATTTTTAGATGTTTTTGTGAGTACCTAATGATCAGATTTGGCATGAATTATGAAGGTAAATGGTTCACACTTACATAGTTTAAATGTCTCATATGAGAGAACAGAAGTATAATTTTGTATCAATTTTTCATGTTATATAATGCCTTATGATGACAAAGTATGATCTGGTGACTGGCATATGTGTGGTATTATATCGCAATAAGATTTACTCCTTTTTCAAATCTTACTTTACTGGTCCTATAGTACTGTATGCAACTTTCATATGGATTCTTATATTACTCACTGGTATTAAGAAACTTAAGTTAATTTTCTTGCTCACCTTGTACAATTGCAGTAACTTTGTTGCATTTCTCACTAAAGTTTAAAATTGGCTTTTATCAGTTTCTTAACATGAGCTAAGAATACCACATCATAGTTACATGTACATTTAAGTAACAGACTAAATGCATGAAATATGTGAACATGTTGTGAAAAACAGGGAAATAAAATAAACCAGTTTTTCATCTGAAAATAAATAAAATGATAAAGTAACCAAATTTTCAGACCCCAGTTTAAGCCAGAAGAAAAAATTTAATCCAACACTAAGTCAAGAAAGTATTTTATCTACCTCAATTATTAAAAAAAAATGCACATAACAATTACTTACTGACCATATTCTAATACCAAAGTTTTACTTAGAATTTTATTTTTATCTCTTACTTTAGCACAAACTAGAATGTTATAATTCAATAAGCATCTAGAGATAAATATCTACTTCAATTCTATTTTAAAATAAAATGAATGCATTCTTGACCAATATTCTTATTCATATTCAATATTCTTATTCATTCTTATTCTTATTCAGAATAAAGAAAACTGACTAATAATTTCTTGAGATTGTTTTTGTTATCAAGATTTTAAAACTATGTTTTGAGGCACCTTCATTCTTTGTCTTGTTTCGTTGAAACATTGTAAAAAATAATTTGGCATGTCATTGTAAAGGTTACATTTAAAAATATGCTCATTTCATTAAATACCATGAAAAGTGTCAACATTTTGAAGATGTGATAAAATTGAGCAGTAACAAGCAGTTATCACTGCAGCTACTATTCAGAGATAAAGATTACTTTATATACACACACACACACATATCAAACAACTAAATGAATGTCACTGATGATTAACATTAAAAAATGTTTAAAAACGATCTGATAAATATAAAAATAGTATGTCTGAAAAGCTAAACCCAATTTTTATGTATGTTACTCTGGTAATGTTAAACTATAGCTTAAGTGACACACTCTCTCTCTTCTCTTACAATCAACTTGGGGCTGGAAAAACTTAACTCTGAGAACAGAATCTTACAGAATCATGATTACTAAAGCATAATGTTTACCCATGGTTAATTTTAAACCATCAAGTATGTTATGTTGTCTACACAAGGTTTTCATGGATGCTGGAAAAGAACTAAACTGATTCATTTTTCTAACTTGTCCTAACTCAGTTCACTTACATTTTGATGTTTCTTTTAACATAAAATTGTTTGAGATTTTAACAGCAGAAAAAATATTACCTAGACCTATTATTAAAAATATCTTACTTAGTCATCACACTTTGTCTAAAGAAAATAAGAACTGTATGGATTTTTACAGAATGAAGATTTACATAATTTTGTTGATAATATGAAAATAAATCCTGAACACTTTGTTTCTTTGACTGGATGGCAGGGGGGCAGGTAGTCTTCAAAAGCATTTTATACTATACTATGTAAATCATGTGAGCCATAGCACAACTATACCAAACCTTTGACTTTTCAGTCATGATGGCTAAACAGTTCAATTAGTTACACCTGTAAAGTTTAGTAATGCAGCAGCTGGTAGCCACCAGAGTACAACAATGAATAGCAAGTAATTGAGAAGTATAAAACTGTGCAAAGCATTCAATAATCTACCATGTCCTTCATCAAGAAGCTGAATTATCAAATTTCTAACTCTAAATTTCCATTTTTTCAACAGTATATGTAGTTTTGGTTATAATTTATCTGTATGTTGTGATTAGAGCTTTGCACAATTACATGTAACATTTTAAGTATTAACATTTCTTACTCAAAATTGGCCAAAATGCAAATACTTCTAAAAATATTATTCAATAAAAAAAGAAAAACAACAATTTTGATTCTATTTAACATCCTGTAAGTTTTTGCAAGGCCATAACTAGGGCAGGGAGAGCAGTGCACCTGCCCTGAGTGTAAAGTGGCGAGCAGAAGAAATATGATGAAAATGGCTTCCATGGCACTCACAAGTGAGGTATAAGTATGATGGCTCCTGCTATGGGGACAAAATTGCTCATTTAGTACTCTGGTTTTCTGATTTTATTCTACACACACACACGATGGAACCCAGAACTTATCACACTATAGGGTTCACTGATGCATAACTAATGTTTTGAGTTTTTCAATGATTAAAGAAGATGAGTACATGAAAAGTATAAAATGAATGTCTTGACAAATAGGACTAGTCATCTACAAGTTAAATATACTTGAATGTGATGAGTCATACACTGCCTAATCAGAAACTATGAAAGATTAAACTCAAGAAAAGTCAGTTTTCTGTGATAAGGTTTTTGTACTCTGAAGGTAATCCAACTAGATTTGTTGTACTGTATCATACATGCAACAGTACTGTAGCACATTATGAATTCCATTATTTTAGTTTTATGAAATAAAGAAACATAATGCACGCTTTGCTTCAATTTTTAAATACAACTTAAAATAATCAAGGAGCTTTGGAATCCAATGCAAAATCTAGTCCCTTGTTAGGGATAATTTGAATTATTTCCAAAAAGGGACAAAATGGCAGAAACAAACAGCACACTCCTTTTTCTTTTCTAAAAGTTCCTGACTACACAGCCATGCTAGCTATAAATATCCCTAAATAAGCTCATATTATTTTCTTTAGTTATCATATGTAACCAATACATACATTAACAGTTCATTGACATAACTAAACCATCAGTCAAACCCTTGCCAATCACTGTGTTCTGATCCTTCTTTAACCAATTCATGACCAATGCAATGGACATCATTCTTCAAAAATGGGGTCCCTTTGCCTTTACCTGCAAGGAAAAAAATAAACAGAATTGGACTTAACAGTAGTAACATTAAAACATACTGTATTTTCTACTCATATCTTGTTCCATTTAACATAACTGTCATTATTGAGTGCATATATTTCCATAATAATAAACTCAAATTATTTTAACTTATCAAGAATTTGACAATTACATACCACTGATAATTACTTTTAACATACCAAGAACTTGCGCATGAATTAGAAGTGTTACAGTGAAGCTTGAACTGTCACAAGCTTCTAACACTATTTGTTCACGTATTAATTTCTCCTTGTATGCAAAGAATTCCAAGGTGATTTGATATGGTTTTTCTAGAAGAAAAAAATATCATACGTAAATTTGGCTTCTAATCTTCTAAGTACAATTTAAAAAAAGATTAAATTGTTATTTCTATATATATATATAGTTCACAAATTTCATGCCAATAACACATCTAAGTATTTTTCATACTCTCAGATTTCTGATTTTTAGTGGATATATACACACACATCAGTTTAACTCTTAGGCAATTTTGATGGAGTTGAAAATTACAATTACAAATCAGTTATTTGATACATTCAAAATTTAATTTGAATACTAATTCTGAACATATTTCAAATATTTTTATATAACCATATATGTAAAATGTACTTGTCTTTACAAATGAAATATGCAAAACAGTACAAACATTAAAATTTCAAACTACATATTTTTTACAACAAGAAATGTACTAAAAGCCAAAGTTGATAAGGTTCATTTAGAGTTCAAGACATGAGCAAAAACTAAGCTATGAATTTTTCACATCATGAAATGTGCTGGAACCCTGTTCTTAAAGATTCTCTACCCCACATAACAGAGACATTAAAGAATAAGTTGGTCCTTTAAGACTATCCACATATACCCACCCCTGATAAAAGTAGAAATTTAACCACTTATTATTTACGTAATTATTGATTCCCCTTCCAAACTTCTGTGAAGTGCTGGTCTCCATTCCTGTCAATTCATTTCCATAAGTCAATCACTTTTTCCTAACCTGAAAATGTATTTCAGATAGATACTTACCTCTCTGTACCACATCTCACCCTTCCTTCCTATCTCCATTGCATCTTGCTTGCCTCATCAAGAATAAGCCTATGATCATGGAGATTACTGCTCATAGAGATTGTGTCACTCTTATATTGGTGGAGAGCTACAGTATTGTGGAAATTATGTCACAGGCTAGCAACATACATGTAGACACATGTAGGGGTGAGACTCTGTTCAAGGTTTGTAGCATAAGTAGCAAATTACATGGCAGTTGCTCATGAGGTAAAAGCTTTGTGGTGCAGAAAGTAGAATTTCTGAAAAATAAAATTGTCTTTTCCAAATATTAAACTTGTGTCTTCTTATCCTATTATCTTCAGAATATAGCAAAAAGAAATCAGACCAACATCCTATCATTTCCCCTGGATAACTTTGTAAACATCAACATAATCATCTCTTACCCTTCTCTTCTCAAAGAAAAATAAGTTATCTTAGCCTATCCCTATAAAATAATTCTGAACTCCCTTAAATCATTCTAGTAGTTCTCCTCTGAACCCCTTCCCATTAAATCAATATCCTTTCTTAGATAAGGAGACCAAAATTTACACAGTATTCCAAGTGAGGCCTAATTAGTGATAATTAGGAATAATTACTTCTTATCACTTGTAATCAATACATCTACAAATACATTATATTAGCTTAAATACTAGTGACAAATTGCTGCTTTGATGGCTTGAGTATCTTAGCCATCTCTATGCCAAGATCCTTTCATTCAGTCACTCAATAAAGAAAGTTCCCATCTATATTAAACAATGTGATTCATACTATAATTATGATTCATTTGCCACATTTGAGCAACATGCTAATTCATCCAAGACATCTTCAATACAATTACAAATACCCAAGAGTTTAATGCTACTAGCAGATTTATTAATTTACTATTTCTGTCTCTATCACTCTATATTAATATCATTAATGTCAATATGATAAAAAAGTATAAGCACTGACCCCTGAGGCACTCCATCAGTAACAAAGATCCAGTTTGATGAGACTTCATTAATAACAACATTTTGCTTTCTCTCATCCAGCCATTGTGCATTAACTAGTCTTTCCCCAACCCTTAAAGATGAAATTTTCTTAGCTAATGTTTTGTGTGGCACCTTATCAAAAGCTTTTTGAAAATATAAGTACACCAAGTTCCCACCTTTTCCATCAGAGACAACAAGCAACATTTAAGAAAACAACAACATATTACTAGTAAGGTAAGATTTCCTTTTGGTGAATTCATGTTGCCTTTCTTTTATGACATCATATTTCAATATCAGACTATTGAATTTTTTTCCACCATAAAAGTAAGACTAATTGGTCTTTAATTTGTAATACAACTCTTATTACTCTCCTTGAAGATAAGAATAACATTACCAACTCTACAATCTTCAAGCCCTTGTCCATTCTCTCTTAACCTACCAAAAATGAAAGACAGAGGTTCACATGTCTGGACTTAAACTTCCTTTAACTCCCTGGAAGGAGTGACAGTGTCACAAAGTACAAGGTTCAGTGAAAGACAGACACAAGGAATAAAACATTTCATATTGAATAACTGCAACAAATTAGATTGCACATCTTTGTGTTGGCCTCTGATATTGGAACCGCTATCATACCCATGACCCCAGCAATCTTTAAACAGCATTCCATATTTGAGAAGCTCTCCAATAATAGTCTCTAACTGAGAAGAACCTATGATCTTCTCAACATTAACAAATAAAATAAAATTTTCTTCAACATTCATCTCCATTCTTTGGAAATTTATCATTCTTAAAACTATTGACAGATACTCTTGATGATTTACAGATAAATTACAGAATAGTGTTTCACATGTTTAAATTTTAGAAGAATTAGAAAAATTAATGACTTCTTTGATGAACATCTTCAGATGTAAAATAATGACTTGTTTTGTTCTTTATGAACTTATAAATATGTTCTTACATTAAAGGATCAACTCTAACTGTGCTTAGCATTTTCTGTTTCAAGGATGGTTTAACCTATCAACATACCATTCAACTGTTCTGTGAAAATCTTGGTTTCTCTCTGCCAAATACACCTATTAAATGCTGCCATTCACTATTGATTTAAGACTAAGCTGAAATATTTACCATAGAATTCGTTTTCAACTGGAGTTCTAATTCCACCCATTTCATAAGGCATTCCTCATGTAAATTGATTTTCTCTCAGTATTCTAGTTCTTTTAATATATACATATTTCAGGAATGAAAAGCTTTGTCAGGTCACTGCATTTTGCTGTCATCAATAATTGCCTGTAAAAACAGAGCAATGCATCTAGTTTTGAAGAACATTCCAATCATAGATGTGGCACATTTCCCACATTTTTCATTTTCCATAAATAATTTTCCTTGTTAGGTGGAAAAATAATGCCTTGAACTTGTAAATGTCTATGTTTTACTAACATAACTAAGTAGACGTCTGCATTTTATGATCATGACCTAATGTCCAGGTTGTCAAATTCCATTAACTTATTATTATTGTAGTTCTAAAATTTGCATTAAATATCATGTAATTGCAGATGTGATTTTTTCCATACTCCTCTTAATTTCTCTATTTCATATTCAAAATCAGAGGCATATAATAATAGCATTTCACATCTATCTTTTGTCTCCCAGAATTTGCAACCCAAGGACCTATTGTTTCAATACCAGAAATCATCAACTGTGCCAGATAATAAGAGTTCACTGTAACAGCACTTATATAAGAAGTATAGTTTTTAAAACTTATGCTTTAAATGCTGAAAACTAGCAAAGCATTGGAAATCAATAGGCCTAAAATTTGTAATAAAAATCACTTAAATTGCACATGTGGAAGACAAAAGATACATCTAAAATTATATTTTTTTACATACCTCAGATTTTGAATCTGAAATGGAAAAATTAAAAGGAATGTGGAAAAAACAAATTCCAATACTGTACCAGCTTTCAACATCTAAGACTTAACTTTCATTATCAGTTTTTTCTTCAAAATGCATAAAATCTTATGATACTTTAAAGGTACTTTTTTGCTATTCTTTTTCAACTGTACTAGAAATAAAAAGTTATCAAGAGAGTTTGTTTGCCATTTTGAGTTTTCTTTGATTGCTTTCTCTTTTTTTTCATGAACTAGACTTGTACTTTTTATTTCTTCAATTAGTTTTCCAAATAAGAATTGATTTTAATAATTAGTTTTAATTATTTATTAATGTTCTATTCCTTCTTGCAAGTTATTTCACAGTTTGAGTTTTCTGCTTGGTTCTTTTTTTGTATTATTTGTATCCACTGCTTTCTGAACTGCTTGCCATCTGTTCCACACGTGATTTATTTATAACAGTTCCTCCCCCACAGAACACTTAAATGTGTTTTTTCATGATGACTCTTAAACATACTACCTTTTGTCTGATCTGTAATAGTTGTGCCTACGATAATGTGGTATTCAATAATAGTTACAAGTGTGTTATACAGGCTGTGTGGGTAGTCAGGCACTGATGTAAAGCACATTAAATAAAACAAAATAATTATCATATATCTTACACAAAAAACAAGTTTTATAGTCAATAATTTATTAAAATATTCTTTGGCAACTGAATAAAATAAAATTGATTAGTACCATCTACTGTACTAAATTAACACAATAATTATGCATAATAATGTATAAATATTAGATATTAAGTATAATGTATGTTTTAAATGAAACAAAACTCAAAACCTTTGAAATGTTGAAAAGCCCATTAGATCCCAATAACTTGTGGCAGCAGAGATATTTACAATGGTCCTGATAAAGCTGTTATATTGTACAACAAAGTTGTAACATGAACATTGTTATGCACGAAAGAAATAAAGCAGTGTAACTTACTTTCCACTAATATTTATATTAAATTTTTATCCTCTAAGAGATTTGTCAAATCTGTCTTCTCAAGAGCCTGAATCATTTTTTCATTTCTCTCTAAACTTACTGTTATAACACAATATAAATTTTTAAAGCATCTGACACTCCTTAATAGGTTCTTCATCAAATGTAATTGAGATTTTCTTCTAGGTTTGTAATAATAAATGTGATCAGAGACAAAGTAGAAATTAGCTTAACAAGTAAGACCTACAATAAAAATGAATTTAAGGGTAAATCAAAACATTTATTTTAGATTTATGTTAAACATAATAATTTTAAGATGTTTTGGATGTGTTGATCTCAACATTAAATCCTTAAACCCAAGTGGATGCTGCCAGCAATTGGCCATAAGTACTGATTTACCTATCAGACTGTGACAGTGTCCAATAACATTTATGTCTCTTTGACTGAAAACTAATCCAAACCATATTGTTATCCACCTTTTATAAATAGACCAAAAGTTTTGTGATGTATTGTCGTTTGCTTTGAAACAAATTTCAGATCATCAGCAGAACACAAAAAATTATGGGTGTAAAAGAGCTAACAGGCAAATATCCTAGTTGACCAATTGGGGTAAGTTTCATGAAAATTGTTACAAAACACCATAAAAGTTTTAACTATTTTTCTGTTAAATGTTTGTTTTCAGACAGAAGAATTGTTTATAGCATTATTTAAGTATACACAAATAAATTGGAAATGTTTTCATAACAAAAAATATTTTTTGTATGTATTTAAAAGAATTGTAGGTATACAGTAAACTAAATCTGAAGGACCAGAAACAGGAAAAAATATCTTTAAGATGATACTGAAATACAGAGATTAATCCTGTAAGTAAGTAGAAAGACTGAAAGATTAAAAGTGCATAAAGCACCAGGGCTAGAAAAGTGTTCCTCATTTTTTTAGAGAAGGTCAAAGATCAGATATGCAAGCCTTTCCCTCTTTCATTTTTGGTAGTTCAACAAAGAATGGGAACTGACTGAGGAGTGGAAAGTTACTAAATTCTACTTTTGTTTGTAAAGTGTGTGATGAGAGTTGCCCTGGAAATTGTACACCAGATATTCTTACTTATCTAGTGTGGAATAATTCAGATAGTTTGATAAAAGCTTTGGAAAATCATTTAGTGAAGTATGATATCACAACTTGAAGTCAACATGTATTCAACAAAGATAAACCTTTCTTATAAATCCATCAAAGTTTTTTCTTTTTTTGACAATGTTACTTTTAATCTGAAAAAAAAAAGGTGTAGACTTGGTGCACTCAGGTTTGAAAAGAACTTTTGATAAGATTCCACAAAAAATTAGTAAGAAAATTACACTGGTAGGGGGTGTGGGAAAGACTATTTAATTGATCTATCATGTGGATACCGGCTACCTTGCAGGAGGCAGAAGAGAGTTATTTTACTGGTGTTACCAGAATAATTTTCTATTGACTTCCCATCTTTTGCTTTTCCTTGCTATACCATACAATACTTTGTTTTCCAACAGTCTCATTCCCTTTGAATGTTGAAAAAGACTTTTTCTAGGTTCTACTTTCACATTACTAGTGCAATGGAGGTTGATATGCTGGTTTAATATAGATAGGCCGGCCCGCCGACATGGGAAGGCAAAGGGAGCAACTGCCCAGGGGCCCAGGCAAACAAACCTGGTTATGCCGTAAAGCTCACAAAGCATCTTTAGGCTATATCTTCATTTAATGAAAAAACCATAGTTTTTGGCTTTCTTTGCATATAGACGCTTGATACATTAAGAACGACTGAAATAATAATTTGAGTAATAATTAATATGTATTTGTTACTTTATAGATTTAACAGATATTTGTTGTTACTTTATTAATGTTTTTACGCTTATACTGTGAGGTCAAAATGGCTGTTGCTATGATTTTGTCTGGTTTACGAGCTCGTTGCTGCCCTAATTTAGGATCTTCTTTTGAATAAATTCTTGAACATGTTAAAAAAGAGAGAGTGAAAGGGGGCCCGGTGAGGATGTTTGCCCCAGGACTTGTGCTGGCTCTCGACGTGCCTGTAGATAGGAATCAATTGAAGAGCATGACTGAAGAAACGGTTCTTAGCATAGTGGTGGATACATCCCCAAGCTATTCAAGCAGTACTCTTTTGCTAGCAGTAAAGCTAATCGAATTTTAGGATGTATTTATAAACATATTGATTACAATTCAAAAGTGGTAATCATTCCTCTGTACAAATCAATTTAGGACTCTCTTGAAATACTGTGTACAGTTTAGATCTCCTTATCTAAGGAAAGATATTGACTTATTGAAAAGGGTTCAGCAGAGAGCTACTATGGAGATTCCAGAGATAGAAGGGTTATTTTACAGGGATAGGTTAAGATCTCTTAAAATTCTTTTCTCTTGAGAAAAGGTAAGAAGTGATATTACTGAAGTTTACAAGATCAACTGAGAAATTGACAGGGTAATGGCCTGTCATTTCTTTGTGCTATATTCTGAAGATAACAGGGCAAGAATACACAAGTTTAATACTTGAAAAAAGTTAGCTTCCAGTAAGGAAATTTATTTTTCTAACAGGGTGATTGACTTGTGGAATGAGTTGCAAACAGCAGTAGTGTGAGTCAGCACTTTACAGGACTTTTCAGAGTGAAGGTCAATGATTTTCTGTGTATTAAAGAATGAGTTAAAATTTTTACTTTTCCCAACCAGTATGTGCAAGGGCAGCCTTGAAAGACCAAATGCTCCCTTGTTGTACGTACATTATGTTATATAGCACTATGAACTTTACACAGAACAAACACTAAACATTGTGACTTTTATCTATAAACAAAGAATAAAGGCAAACATCTCACTTTTTTACAAAATGATTTTATATATTGTAAGCTAAATATTAAGCAAGTATATACAATAATTAGAGTTAAACAAAGGGTACAATCCTACTAAGAACTCTCCACTCTCTTCTTACCCATATATTCATGTGAAAAAGTACCCTTACCAAGAACACGCAATTTTCATCACTCATGACTCCTTACTATTTACCAATATTTGAAGTATATAGTAAATGTTTAATTCGATTGTATCATTTTGTCAATTATGAAACAGTAAAGGTTTAAATTCAGATTTTAGAAAATGCAAAACAATTTTTTTATTGTTGCAACAGATGCCACTTTCCTTATAAATGTAACTTCTATGAAAACTGATGAAAAAGTGAGAGTAAAATGAATTTTCTCAACAGTAACAGATGAAAGTGAGCTGTTAATGATCGAACTGGTTATATCAGGCATTTAATCTAGTAACAACAAACATACAAAAAACCTTTTAAGCAGAGCAACTAAGGTCACTCAAAAATATTCATTAATGAATGCAAACTACCTGATTTATCATGCTTTCCATTCATTGAATGTAGTTTAGTGACTCTCAAGTTCAGATTTGGAGGATTCTGGTTACTTACAGCAAGTGGTCCAATTGTCTCTCTACTGTGAAACACAAAGGATATTTCGTATCTATGGTAAATCTGAAAATTAAAATGAAACAAAGTTTTAAACAAATCTATTGAATATGTTAATTATAAAAGTTAACACAATTACAATTGTTATTTGTGTAATTGAAGATAGAAATAGCACCTACACTACTATACCTGTCATATCCCAGGTATAATGACCCCTGGTATTTGGGTAAAAGGCTTCATCATAACTGGTATGGGAGATATTATTACATATTTTAACTCATAATTTCTTAGAATTAGTATGAATTTTTTTTCATGCACTCAATAAATAAGATGAAATTTGTAGCAAACGTAAAAAAAGTGTTATATTTTTTTCTTAAAACAAAGTTCAAGGTAGAAAGTAAAGATCAGAATGAGCAGCAAACAGCTTGCACCAAAATAGCATCTCTTATTTAAGGTCTTTAGTTCCATCAACTCGTTGGTTTCTTCAAACTATTTTTATTTTAAACACTTAACTTTTAATACTTAATGTGTTGCATTTTGGGGCAAAAATAATTCAGTGATTATATGCTTTAGCCACCCCTAATTCTTAAGTGATAGACCAGAGAGAAGGCAGCTAGTCAACATCACCCACTGCCAACTCTTGGGCTCTATTTAGATAGTAGGATTTGACTGTCATTCTTATAATGCACTCACAGCCCCAAAATGCAAAATGCAGTTTGTTTTGGTGGTAATGGTCCATGAACTATAGAACCTCAGATTCACAGTTCAGCATGATAACCATTGGGTTGCTAATTAATGTGACTTTTTATATTCTTACGCATATAAATTATATTCATTTTGATTATTATTTTCACTACCCTTTTTTGTTAAATAAATACATATTTCAAGTTTTTCTGGTAATTGATAAGAATTATTGATTACAAATTATGCCTTTTTTAGCTAAAAATTTATCCTGAGCTTAATAAATCTCCCCACTTTACAAAGAATAACTGACAATCAAATTACTTACCTGTAAAAAACCCACATGGATGTTAATATGTGAATCATTCATGGGATGAACAACGATATCTGCATCATGGCCAAAAGTATCCGATGCCTCATTAAAATGAACTCTATGGTGATCTACCATGAACAAGTTGAAAAAACAACATCAAAATAGATATCAAATTTATACAATACTAACATCTGTAGTAGTTGGAACTTACACAAACTAAAAAAATAACACCAAACTTGCACTAGCTAAACAACAATCAAAAGCTAGAAAATATAAAATGAAAGTGAATATGAAAATCAACACATTAATACAAATCAAAGTAATATTACATATTTATAACTTCGTTATATAACAAATCATAACCAATAACTCACCAACTTCATGCTGATGAAAATCTTCAATTTCCATGATATTTTAGATGATCACCAAAACTAAAAAAGCACAAGAACTTAATAGTCTACAAAAATAAAGGTATTACAAAAGAAATTATAGCCACAGATTTATATTTCATGGTAACTGTGAAAATAAAAAAACAAAAACTTACTTTATAGAAATGTTCAAAAGATAAAGATTTTATTGAAAGAATGGGTCCAGTGGAGTTTGTTTTGAGGCATTTGTTATTCATTACCTATATCAATAATATGAATGCCTATTTGGTTAATAAATTATCCAAATTTTCTGATGACACTAAGGTATTTTGTAAAGCTAATAGTGGTAAAGATCTGTAATTCAAAAGAACCTGGACAGTTTTATTGAAAAGTCCACAGTGTAGAAAATTAATTTTTAAATTGTGAAGTGTAAAGATATAGGTGTGGAATTTTGGATAGGATCTACTTCTTCTCCATATAGTACAACTGAAATTATTGGATAAAATAAAAAATTACCTTGAATAATAATCTAGTTTCTACTGAGAACTTGAGTTCTATATGCAATTTTGATATTTATTACAAGAAACAAATACATACCACATTAGAATAGAAATAAGGCAGATATGGACAAACACTTGAAAGTATTATCAGAAATTATGACCTGCATAATTTATAGAATATGAGCACCATAGTGAAGCTTACATACCACTAGTACTACTACTACTAGGCTATGACATAAGTTTATTGTCTAGCAAGTAGCATTGCACTCTGGAGCATACTAATATTATTATTTCTATTACAATTACCGAGGCTGAGAAGTAAATTAAAATTGTAATGTTTAAGTTCTTGGATATATGACATTAAAATTTGGTGTTTATTAGTATTAATATTAGTAATACTAATAAGTATAACTATAAGTTAACTTAAGATTTAGTTGGTATTATTTTTTTTCTGGGAATTATAAATATAAGTATTGTCATCAAAGTTCATGTTTTTTTCGATTTGTGCTGTTACTGTTATGAATTTAAACTTGTTTAAAAATTAAACTTTGTTGAACAGATATGTTATTGTTAATATGAAACTGAAACGCTTCATTTAGGTTCGTTGACTGGTTTGCTTTCTCAAACTCAGTTTATATTTTATGTCACCTTGCTCCTTCTTTTGATCTAAAAATACTTCATCACATATGCATCTTTAATATAATTACCTTAAAAAACTCTAAAGTAACCTTATCCCTTAGTAACGTGTGTCTTATTTTCAGTTTCAGTGTACGCTTTACTAATAATACCAGTAAATATACCTAACAGTAATACGTCGATATCTACCAAACACGTACAATTTGAAAAACTGGCATGACTAGTACGAGTACTTACGCAAATGTTACAAATACCTTCTTCCCTCTCACAACTATTGAATAATTTTTACGCGCGAACACGATTTTGTACGCAGAAATTCGCCCCGCAAAAGGGAGTATCTTAGGCAATAGCGGTAGTTTTTGTTTGTGCCACGTGAGGGCGTCACGTAGCTCCTGCCAAATTCTGCTTTCTTGATACGCGAATAAAAATACGATGTTAATCATTTTGTAATTTGTTATTTCTGAGGCAAATAATGATATATATAAACAGAGAAAATTGAAATCATAAGACCAAAGAAGTGACTGATTAAAATAATAAAGAATAAATCTGAAACATTTGATGCTGACGTTAATTAAATATAAATAATAAAATTTACAAACAAGCTATTCATAATAATTGGTTTTATGTCTTTTGCTTTCAATCGTTTTTAATATTTTTACCACTACTAAAATTACGGCAAACCAATAAACCGAGTAGGCCCTACACATCTTTGCTCTAAGATTTTCATAACTTCCGCAAATAAGTCTAAAAACAAAATTTGATTTATGTAGTTTTGTTTAAAATCTCAGTGGTTAGCATTATGTGAATTTATGGAGCACGCAAGTTTTGGGCTAAAAAAACAATATTAATTATTATAAGATCACATGCTAATGTTGGTGTGAATTAAGAATCAGGCAGTGAGCTCTATTTAATATGACTATATGTATTCATATACGCACATACATACAGCTCAATGGAATCAGATCACATCCATGGCGCCGCCATTTGACACAAAGTAGAACTACTACATCTGCCTAATATTTTTTTCTTTCGCATTTGTCTCAGTTGCATTATGGTCTAGGCCTAGTCTTGCCTTTTTGTTTAATTCGACTTTACAGTTGTGCACTCACATTAGACAAAAACAACAGACATATAAATTTAAATAATATACGTATTAGTATTATAAGATTCAAAATTTCGTCACAAGTATAACGCTTTATGGTTATTACTATGTAAGAAAAAGCAAGATGTCAAAAATATCATCGTTCATCAAAATAATGTTGCGTCAGCGAGTCACATGACTAGTGTGACGCCACGTTTCTAGAACTATCCCGTACCATGGCAAATGCTCTTGTATTTACTAGATATAGGGTAGCCTGGTATATAAAAGAGGGTGACAACGTGACGGAAGAATATGTAATGTAATGTGTGTGTAGATAGTGAGTAATTGAACTGCAGTCACAGGGTATTGTTAAAGTTAACGTTCGTTCGTTATAGTGTTTGTTTTAGC